ATGCGCAGCACAGAGAGCTAGATTACGATCGTCATTTTCAGGAACATAATCAAACATAAATTGTATCCATTGTTGAGCAAGTATAGCGTCCATGGGAAGCCCGAACACAGAAGACAGCTGACAGCTGCTTGAACAACACACTCGACGAGTCGACGTGCCTCAGAAATATGCACATGCCATGTTCTGCATATTCTGAGGGAGGGGTTGATGCAAATGTGTGGGTCAGTGACGTACCATAACCCGCCTGTAGTCCCAATCGAGTCGTTTTAGTAGGCAATATACTTCCTGATTTTTAAAAGATAATATCTCTGCTTACACTGAATTTTCAGCGCTGCAACTTTGCAGATACTGTTCATGCACCAACAGCAACATTACACACTATTTAAAATGAAAAAAGTGAAATCGCAGTCAACCCCCACTTTAATTTAGGTTATAAATTATTTGTCAACTTGCTTTTATCCACTATTAGTAAAGCTTATTGTAGCGGACCACATCCAAATGATGGCAAAAAAAAAAAGTATTGATGAGTTTTATAAAGTTTATTGTAAGTGCGCATTAAATTCATAATCAGAAAATGGCTTGTTCTGAGACACTGCTTATGATTTATGAGGATTAAAACAAAAAAAGCACTGGGTGGATTTTTATTATTATAGGGTGGTTGTGTCCACACACTGCCAACACACATTTATGTTCAAAAACAATGTAAAAGTAAATTTTGCAAAATAGGTGCCCTTTAAATACTTCCGTTTTGATAGTCCACAGTCCACACTACAACGTGAAAACGACATTTTCATAATTAATCCACTTTGGAGTGCGTTTTCAAAAAGCTTAATTTTCATCAATAAAAATGCTGTCTCAGTGGGGGGAGGCCAAAAAGGAAGGAAAAAGCGTTTTTAAGCAAAACCGTATTAGTCAAGTCCAGTCATGTGTCAAAGCAGCTTTACAGTGATAATAGGAAATTAAAGTACAGAGATTGTTTGGCTTTATAGCAGCTCTAGAAAAAAGTTATTGTCCAGCTAAAGTTAGTTTTGATCGATTCACTTCCGTCTTTCATTGGAGAATTAGTGTGGACAAGGCCTGAGACTGCTGGCCTGGTGCTGCTGTGATGTATGACTCTGTGGTTGGATGAATATTTGAATGCTAGTTGGAGTTTGGGTTCCCTGCCACTGTTGCATCTGGCTTACTTAGTTGCAGATACTTATTCAACTATATCATTGATCTGACTGTTGTATGAGAACTAAACTGAGGTGGACGCTGCCACATATATTTATTTATTTATTTATTTATTTTTTTGCAGAACTGCTTGAAATTAACTAATTTAATAATTTATTATCTTAATAACAGAACTGAATCAACACTGAACTGACTTCATCTGCCCTTACTTCTGCCCAGTGGCTGCTGTCCTAAAAAAACTTCTTTTGTGTTCTAAACAGCAAAAACATATTTTCAAGTAGGTGTACTGCTCCATTGTCATAGATTTATATTATACATATTTATAGGTATTAATAGGCACAGTGTTTGAAGCCCAATTCACTGGAGTTGTGAGTTTAGACTTTTTTTTCGACTTTTTTTAAAACTGTTCCTGTGGTGTTGAGGAACTATAATTCCTGTTAATCCTATAATTTTATATTTTTATTTATTTAAAGTGAATTAATTGTAATGAAAAATAAATAAAATTAAATAGCTAAAGTAAATCGTAAGTGGAAGTGCATCTGTCAATTCATTGAATGTTCAAAATATTCATTTTATTTAGAAAAAAAATACACATTGGTTGGCCTATTCATGAGCATATATCAGCAATTACACATGTTTAGGGAATAGGGCATTATTAATGTATGTGCTAAGGTATGCTTTTTTTTTTCTTCTTTTTTTTTTAACAATTATTCATGTACAAACAGTAAGGCAATAGTAACAATTCTAGATAGGGGTAAACCACTATCAGAGTCTGCCCGTGGGATGGGGGCACCGCCGCGCCAAGCAGTGTCCCACATTGTCCCTCAGAAACATACCCCTTGTCCCCCCTTGGGCTTATTAGCAGGTGGTCACCCTAGTGACGCACCTTAATGTAATCATTTCTTAGCACCAAATTTCGGGTACACTGGGAACGTTTATATTTACCTGTTATTAAATGAACTAAGCTGCCATCTAGTGACAGTGTTCAACAGCTGATTAAGGAATGAATCTCCCCACTTCCCTGCAGAGTCTCCTCTCTAATTTAAACACAGCTTTATCTAGCTTTATTTATGTAATCAGAAATTACCAGGGCTCATGATAAATTATGTTTCTAACCTGTTATCTAACATTTTATATCACATAATAAGGTATTTATATTATATCTTTAGTCCTGATTTTCTGTCTCATGGATAAGTGTTTTTGTATGAGCATTAAAGTGATTTTGATGGATAAAACAGTGATTACATCAAATTTTGCCTTGACACATATAAATGAACATTAAAAAAGTGTGCTTTACTTATCTCTGTTGAGTATACCTGTGATATACATTATATAGGTAAATAGATTTTAATAATTGTTTTGAGAATTTATAACACAATGATTTTAATAGAAGCATTTGTATATCAATTTATGCCATGCTGTTTTCATGTTATCAAAATTAAAATCAATTTCGGGGGGTGGGGGGATATTGCACCCTAGAGCAAGTTAATTTATAACATTGAATGACATCTTATACGACATAATTAGACTATTTATTATTATTTTATTTTATTTTTTTTACTTTCTTCCTCTGTCACTCAAGCTGATTGGCAGAAACTGATGGGCTGGGTTTGTCTCTGCCTACAAAAGAGAGATTTACATATTTAAGGCTAGGTCCTGTTTAAAGGCTATAGTGCTGGACATAATAGATGCACCATCTCAGGCCCAAACATTGCAATCCAGGACTAATTAAAAAGAGTGCTGCGGTGTGAGGATGGGTAGACAACTAACAACAACCATTACAACAGTCCAATTCATTTATTTGACTGCTGCGGTAGCAGAGGTGGAGATGATTACTCATTACGCCTATTTACAGCTAATCACAGCTGCAGGAAATAGCATCCTTTCCCACACGGTGCCATACTAGTTAAAGGGGGTGAAAAAGGAAGCAATTGATTTCAAATTAATTGTTTGAAAGGTTTTCTCAATGGGAGCCATCTCTCCAAACAAGCTGAACATTTAGTATAAAATGTAATCAAAATTAATTAAAGCCCTAACAAATTGCATACATCATAGTTAACATGGGCAGATAGTACAGCAGGAAATGTTATGAAACAAATTATCTCCAACAATGAAAGAAAATGACCTCACATAACTAAATATTACAGTCGTTTCCATGAGCCATATTTCTTAATGAATTCTCTAATTAATTTAATTCACACATTGTGCATAATTTGAAACATGAAATGTCACTGGGTCAGATTTAACCATAGTCATGCTGGCTGTCGGTTTAACAAGAGACACATTAGCTAAACATGACCTATGCAAATCAAAGACCAACTGTTGTAATTTTAATTTCAAATCCCTAATTAGCATGTTATAAAGACATATTGCACGATTGTTCCGCTCAACTCAAGACATGCCAGAGTCACTTTTTTGGGGTCTGAAAATATCTCAATTAAGGTCTGCATTTTACAGGGTTCTTATATAACATGTTCAAGCACAGTAATTACATCTTCTACTATTATACTCATTTGGAATAAACAGGTAACATATAAACAACATTCTCTCCAGTTATTTAAGCCACCGGTCAAAATTCATGTACAATTTTTATTTTTTTTTTTTTTTAAACAAGTTTACGAGTTTATCTATAAAAATAGCATGAATTTGGGGATTTGGAATTTGGAGTTTTTCAACCGTTTGCTATACTGTATTCTGTTTTCCTTTATTGGCAGCTTGACTTTTTTCATCTTTAATATTAATTTAATTTTATATTATCTACTTTTTGTTTTTATATTATCTAGTCTCGGTATCACTTTACAATAAGGTTCATTAGTTAACAACCTACTAGTTAATGTGTATAAATGATACTTCTACAGCATTTACTAATCATTTACTATCTATTAATTTCAACATTTACGAATACATTATTTAAATCAAAGGTTGTTAACATTAGTCAATGTACTGTGAACTAATATGAACAAACAATTGTATTGTAACAACAAACAGCTGTATTTTTATTAAATAACATTAACAAAGATTAACTAGTAACAAATGTATTGCTCATTGTTTTCATGTTAATACATTAACTAATGACAAGCATTCGTATGTTTCTCCTTAAAGGTGTGTTGTGAGTGTAATAATACTGTGCTGTATTTATTTCAAAACCAATAGTTTATTCTAGATGAACAATAGGCTTTCAGGTTTTCTCTTGCAACAAAACAGGTTAGACCAGACTTGATCTAAATAGCAGCTTTTAAAAATTTCAGTCTTTCAGATGAGCATACGCAGATATAAATTATAACCACGTTAATATTAATCCCTCACCTCTTAAAAAAATAAATAAATACTTTGGCAGTACCATGGTACAAGGTACCATAGTCATAGTGTAGTGTGAAAGTAAAAATAATAAATAAAAAGAATTTTTCTAATTTTTCTAATGCTTGAAATTTGTTTTATACACAAATATAAACAGGAAATAGTGAATGAATCATGGTTAATTAGTAAACTATTTTTTTATTTATTAATTTTACTTAATGCAGCATAGCCTACTTAATGCTAAAAAGCATTCTTATGTAGGCCACCTCATTAAGTTGGTTGAGATAATACACAAATAATACACAAATAGACTATTTGTACAATACACAAATAGTCAAATAAGTTAAAATAGGCCTATAAGATTTATATTTCATTTTAAAGGACATCGTTTTACATCCCCGTATTATTATTCTAATATGTGTAAAATTGTCATTAGGCTATGGAGAAAGTAGGTGTGTGCACTCACCAAGTAAGTTACTTCAACCATGCTATTGATCGTAATCAAAATACCAACTATAGGCTAGTAAGATAATATTTTATGTTTTAAACGAGTGTATTGACTAACAAACAGATGTCTAACTCGTACCACACCCTGAACAGGATTTAATTTTTTAGTGCGTCCAAAATATCGCTGTGTATTGACACGTCGACACATGTGTTTTTAGCCTGTGTAGGCTAAAACAGGGCAGGTCTGATGTGCTGGACACCAGCAGGAACTACGGGCTTAAAGGAGGATGTCCTTAACCCAGTGGAACGTTTGTGTACGTGTGCTTAGAAGTGGCACCAGATAATTGTCGAAACAAACCTTTAGAAAATCGAAACGAGTGCAGAAAACATTAATTTGAGAAGACCGGAGCAGCACCTGTGTGATGACAAACTTTGCAACGACGATCTCAATTGAAAGATTCACGCGACTATCTCAACGTTGTTTGAAACGAAATATCTAAAATGGATTTATTGTGGATCTAATGTCTTTCAGTGGAAAACTGCGGAAGTTTGCCAGGACAGCAGATTTTTAGGTCATAGCCTACAGAAATTTTGCCACGCAGTCGTTCTTGAGTTCAGGATGTTCAGTGAAGTACCTACCCCTCCATGGCTACGTTCACACACTTGGTGTTTATCAAACATCTTAAATTGTTTGTCTATTTACACTAGCCTACTAGTCACACGTGGAATAAACATCGTCTGTATGCCCAGGTAAACCACAATCAAATCCCGTTTCTATTATCGCGATAGCTTGAATAACGACTAACTGTTGTGACAGAGTTATTTCATTTGAATTCTGCTAACTTTTGCGGCTCCTCTGCTGTTAAGATTTTGTTTCGAAATTGAACTTTTGATTTCCAATTAATTCCTTTTGTTCCATGATGGCCTAGAACATATTCTAGCCTATCTGTTTCTAGTTCAGTTGCGTAAATATTTCAGGTAGTCACATCAGTTTAAGAATGTGGAGTCAGTCAGTACTGCACTAAGTGTGAACATTTAAAAAATGAAGTTTAGAAATTATTTTAGAGGCAGTGGGAGAGTCCTAGCGTTTGTGTTTGTCGCATCTGTACTCTGGCTCCTCTTTGATATCGCAGCACTTAGGATATCCTTCAATGATGTGAATCAGGTTCTCAAAGAGAAAGAGATTGTACTAAAACAGGGTAGGAGTAAAAACAATGTAGATAATGCCTTTAAACATCCTAAAGTAAATGTAGAAAAGGGGGAGTTTTTAAAAAACAGAAAAGGTTTTGGAAAGAAAGTTAATGAGATTTATAGAAAGTGGCCAAAGTTCAGTACAGAACCCCAAGGTCTGCTAAACAACAATAAACATTTGAATTCAATGTTAATGGCTGACAAGTCTTTTGTGGAACAAAACGAGGTAATTAATCAAACCAAAGTGAATCTAACTGTGAAATCACCTGTGAAAGGAACAATTATTAGCATCCCTCCAAAAACTGAAATTAACGGCAAAGTGAACAGCATATCTGCAAAGATGAACAAAATAAATGCTGCTGTTGGACAGACGGAAACAAATCTAGATGTTAAAGCACCTTTACTTACTAAAGCACTGCCTGCTGTCCAAGAGAAAATATATTCTCCTGCACTCAAAGAAAACACTGTGGAGAAAGTAAATCATACCAATGACACACTTGTAATGTCACATAATAAAGTATATGTAGATTCAGGTTTACAAAATAACTTGAGTAAGGATTTTCTCAAACCAACAAAGACTGATAAACCGACAAATATTATTGACAATAGAGAGAAACATGCTGATATTTTCAACAAAACTAAACCAGTTATTACTAAAAAAACAGTAGAAACAGCACACTCTCCTAGTGTGCGAGTGAGGAGGTCAGGAGAGCTTCACAAGGTTATGGCTCTAGATGTGACAGACTTGCCCAGAAATCCACAGGCCGTGGGACAGTTTGGACAGCCTGCAAGTGTTCCCAGAGATAAAGAACTGGAGAGTCGAAGACGCTGGAGTGAAGGACATTTTAATGTATTCCTGAGTGAACAGATACCAATAGATAGAGCCATTCCAGACACCAGACCCCAAACGTGAGTTTGAGCCATTTTTGTTGTATTTGAAGAGTTAAATTGTAAGTGGATGTAGCACTGATGTGTAACTTCTCCATAACCTGTATTGTTTAGATGTTCAGAAAATCTTGTTCATGATGACTTGCCCGACACCAGCGTGATCTTTTGCTTTGTGGATGAGGTGTGGTCAACTCTGCTACGCTCAGTGCACAGTGTGCTCAACAGGTCTCCTCCACATCTGCTGAAGGAGATCATTTTGGTGGACGACTCCAGCACCAAAGGTCTGAGGGACAATTCTGTGCTGATTTACTTGCATTTTAAAGAAATGATTTGAATTATGTGAGATCAGTGACTGGGCTTATGTCTAATAGTTAAAAGCTTTAGACCTCACACATAGTGTTAGCTCCATTTTGGGTGATCCAAACTCACAAGTCATCAGCACTAAATACGTGATACAAAACAGGCTTGTGTCACAGTCATCCATAGAATAACCGTTTACTTCTTAAATAAATAACTCATTTGACTTCTTAAAATCTTGACAAGTTTAACTTAACAATGCTTAATCTATGCCAAAACATCAAAAGTCCAGGAATAAAAAAATATAAGCATGGATTTAATCATTGAAGAAAATGTTTGTAAAAGCCTCTGACTTAAAGAATTATGTTGTAAACTGTTCTTTAAAATTAAGCATTTTTGCTTTTAAATTGTCTTAAAAGTCTTAAAAGTACCTCTAATTAAAGAAGTAACTGAAGATATGTTAGTCCTCACCTTTCTGTGGTTTTGTTTCTCTATGAGTGATTTTGTTTTGTGTTCTAGACTACCTGAAGGAGCAGCTGGATGTTTATATGGCTAAGTTCCCTAAAGTAAAAATCATCCGTCTGAAAGAGAGACAAGGCCTCATCAGAGCCAGGATTGCAGGGGCCAGTGCTGCTACAGGTACTGTACACTCGCACTAATTCATTTTACTGAGAAAGCTTTAATCCATACAGTAGCAATATGCGTAGGGAAGGACTGTCCTTGGATTTGTGCTTAATTTAATTGGTTTGGAAATTGGGATACATGGCATAGACAGCTGGTATCTCTGCTATGAACAATGAATGTTGTTTTTGTGTTTGGCTGTAATGATTGTTTCAACATATGTTGTTTCATCTGCAGGTGAAGTGTTGACATTCCTGGACTCTCATATTGAGTGTAACGTGGGGTGGCTGGAGCCACTGTTAGAAAGAGTTTACATGGACCGCAAAAAAGTGGTCTGTCCTGTTATTGAGGTCATCAGCGATAAGGACATGAGGTAATGAAGTATATTCAGTCTTGCTGAAATAACTGTTGAGCTCAAATAACTCAAGAGCTCAAATAACTGTTGAGCTCCCCTTACGGAACAAAAATAAATGGGAATATACTGCAAAATATAATGCAATATATTACATTCTACATTTCCATGTATGGGAAATAGTGCTTATATTTTTCAATACACTGCAATAGAGCTCCGGACGTCACATGACCTGTTTAAACCGTCATATTGGCAGGCAAGGCAGTCAGGGACCGGGATGTGAATGAATGGCGGCAGCTTTAGTTTCAAGGCAACAGAGTTTACAGTAGTGTTGGGTCCGAGTCCTTAACAATCGAGTCCGAGTCCAAAGAGGGCCGAGTCGGACTTGAGTCCGAGGCCTTAACATCCGAGTCGAGTCCGGCCGAGTCCACAAAGATTTAAATGATTTGAAATTGACCTTTCACAAAGACCCGCCCCTCTTAGTTACTGTTGCTACGTCTGACAAGCCATTCCGATCTCGCTCCACAAAATATATTGAAAAATATATTGAGGAGCAAAGAGAAAAAGATATTTGCAAGTTAATGCTCAACAATGCAACACGATGCATTAAGAACCAGGGGTATAGTTTTGAGCAAGATGATGGTGATGTTTACATTTTTATTATTTTGTCTTACATGCTAATATCTTTTTTTAGCCTCTGAAGGGCAGGACTAAATTAATTAATTACAATTTACACCAATTTACATCCAGTTCCATGATCCATCATTAACGGATGCTTCCTTCTTGAACATCACTAAATATATGTAGGGTTTGTAATGATTGTGTATGAGTCCCTCACTTGTCTCCAGTGCGAAAAGATGGATCTCAGATGAATGTGCCGGAGCTGGAGGATTTTTCCTCATGAACAACCATTAAAAAAAAACAGTTGTGGATCATTCAGGTAATATTAAAATCAAGTAATTTGTTTTGTATTTTGTCTTGTGGACTAGGCCATTAAACATCTGTAATGTGAAAAACCTTTTTCAGTCCAGTACTGAATAGAAACAATGTTTTTATGCTCCTTCCTATTAATATAAAAAAAAAGAAAAAAAAAATACATTTTGGAGATTCTGAAAGGTCTATGTAAACATATGACTAAAGTGTAAATGTAACAAAAATCATACAATTATTAGTCGCCAAAATGTTGCTATGTTTATCACGTTCTCACGTTGCTATGGTTACTGTCAATCATCACAATTTCATGACTCACAGGACTTTTTTTTATTTTATTTTTTTATGCTTTATTGTGAACATCAAGTAGCATGTACATTGTAATTTCTCATACAACATATTTCACATGCCTCAACAAGAACAGAAAATAAAAAAAATAAAAAATAATAATTAAAATAAAAAATAAAAAGAATGAGAGGGTACATAAATATCAGTTTACCAACAGATATACATTATAGATTTATCAATTCCAAAGCGTATTCTAATGCAATATAATAAATAGAGTATACTTTATATATCAGCATCATTAATTATATTTGTGAAACTATTATATATGTGAAATTATATTATATTATGTGAAAATGTTCAAGGATGAGCATATATTAATCACTTTAATTGCTTTACTATTTTTAGATTTTGACATCACATCTACATACATTTTGATCTCTTTTTCAAGTACCATAAAAAGAGGTCTGCTATTTGTAAACTTGCATTTATGAATGTGAAATTTACATAAAAATAAAATAAAATGTATAATAAAACCGACATCCTGAGTGATCCTCAATATAATAGCCCACAATCACATATTTTTAAGACAATTTAAATGTTTTTAAAATATTATTAGCAATGAAAATCTCTACATTGTTCCAAAAAAGCTGGGTATAATGGCAAGACCAAAACAAATGAGAGGTCGTTTCAGTGGAGCATTCACAGAAAGAACATTTTAAGTCAATATTAATTTAAAATGTTTGTAGAAATATTTTTGTAGGATAAACTCTGTGAATTAATTTATAAGAGATTTCTTTAACTTTATTTGTAAGGAGGAATTTTTGAGGTAATGACCAAACTTGAGTCCAATTTACATTACTAAAAAAACTGTTCCAGTAGAAAATAACATAAGGCGTAGAAATAATCTCTCTTAAAAATAATGATCTAATTTTATAATTGTTAGGCTTTAACCCACAGAAACAGATATTGCCTACATAAGTATTTTCAGGTCTAGTAGGACAGATGGAGAGTGTGGATGTACATGCACTGCTTTGGAACAGCATCTGTACACCTGCAGGTATTGCCTTAGTAAGCACCTTGAATTATTTTAATGTAATAGGAATGTTGTCACTCCCACAATTAAATTTATCACTGTTTTTGATTTACATTGTGAATGGAACCACTGGTGCCCTAGAAGCATGAAAAACAAAATTATTATTTAGATTGTCAATTGCGCTCCCTTTAAAGGGTACATATCATGCTTTTAAATAATTCATTTTTACATATAAATCATACTGTTGTGGTCTATATAAAACATAACTGCAATGCATGGGTCTGAATTCCTCATTGTTATAGCTCCACAGGCCCCTTTTCTACCCCTTTTCTGATGTGCGTCTTTGAGTGACCCCTTTCAATGCGTCCCCTTTAAATAAAAAGGAGATGCGTCACACCCCGCCCGCTCTCCAGGTCGATGAGTTCACGGTCAGTTCAACTCCCCACGTTCGGCCATTATTGTAGTTTGATTAGAGATATACGATTATATACAATACCTTCAAAGAACATTTTTATTCACACTTTAATAAAATGTCAACAACAGAAGACTTGTCCATCAAGCCTTACATATTCGAGCCAGAGCGAGCTAGTTGATAAAGACGACGACAACGAACGTGCAGAACAACCACTTCTTTATATGGATATATTGGTATGTGAGTTAACTGTTTTGTGTTATTAGTGAAAGTCGACTATTTTGTTAAAACAAGCACACTGACAAGATAAATGACTACGGTCTAATCTTACCACAAAAAAATCTGTATTGACAATATGACAGTGTTGGGTAAGTTACTCTAAAAAAGTAATTAATTACTAGTTACTAATTACCTCAACAGTGTAATTAGATTACTGTACTAATTACTCTCTCTAAAAAGTATTTAATTACTTTTAATTACTAATTACTTTCAAAATCCCATATCAATCTCAACCAGATGAATAATACAAGGCTAGACATAAATCTGTTTTAATTCTTTCAAATAAATACTATAAAACTGCATGAATTATCCTTAAACAGACCAAGGTTGAGAAGGTTACATTATAAAAACACACTTTTTAGCATCAGACAATACATTTTGATGTTAAACCCACTATTGTTTTATTTCTGATCTCATGACATTTCACACTTTTTTCATACATATTTTACAATAAATCATACGAATTTGTTCGAGTGCGGTCGTACAATTTGTGTCTAATAAAATTTGTGTCTCATAAAATGCATATGAATCGCTGTGAGATCGGATTGATCTATACACAGTATTTACCTCAATTACATCAGAAGTAACTGTAATTAAATTACTGATAAATAAAGAGTAATCCATTACTTCACATTTTCAAGGGAAAAGTAATTAAATTACAGTAACTAATTACTTAGTAATTAGTTACACCCAACACTGCAATATGATACGTTTAGAAAAGCATCAGAAAACAACGCAGCTAAATGACCATTGATGAAACTCAAGAACAATAATACTGCAGATGTGTAACGTTACTTCAAAACAAAAACAAAGAAAGACAAAGGTACTGCTAAACCATGACCACCATGTGTTTTAATAAAGTAAAGTACTTTATTTTTATTAACGATATTTACAGCTTATTTTTATTAACGAACATTTTGACTTGCCCTCTCGTAACTTCTGCATCATTGAGCTCGAACTACAAAATCGGAGCGAGAAATAATAATGGCGGATTGCTCGAAGTGTTGGACCGGTAGTCAATATCCTTATTTGGCAGTTCCGCTGCAAATACGGTGACGCACTTGCTCAAAAAACGTCATAGAGAACAGAAAAATCTGAACAGGTTGAAACATATGACCAAAACAGAATATAAAGATATAAACGAATCACCTGAAGAGAATAATTTCATCTTTTCTGTACTTATAAACACTCCAAATATACAACAAAATGCATTTAAGGTCTAAAAAAGTGGATTTTGCATGATATGTCCCCTTTAAGGCATCACTTACCGCGTTTCAGCACAAGTAGTTTCATTTCATTTTTGAATAATGTGTCCTCCAGTGCCCGGACTCGACTGGACTCGGACATTTTTCCGAGTCTAAAATGTCCGAGTCTGTGTCAAGTCCGAGTACAAATTCATCCGAGTGTGTGACAAGTTCGAGTTCATTCAAAATTGGACTCGAGTCCGGACTCGAGTCCGAGTTCGAGTACCCCAACTCTAGTTTACAGCACACTTTAATTCAAAAATACATAGACTTCTACATAACAAAACTTAATAGATTAAACATAACAGATCTATAATGCCCCCGGGGTGCTTTTAATGTGTATTGATAAAGGAACTGATAGCTTTCCTGAAAGTAGGTTAATAGGAGGAAGAAGAGTCAGCCTACACAGAACATACAATATTTTTATTTATTTTATTTTTTGTGCTCGCATTTATGAGGGGGAAAAAAAACAATGTAACGGATATGACAGTTCTCCATTATAGACCGCTTTGAAAGTGACTAAAACTTTCACAGACTTCAGAAAGCACAGCCTTTCTTTAAAGTAATTGTATCTTATACAATTGTATCTAATTTTAAATAATGTTTCATCAACCAATTGCCTTGATTAAATAAATAAGACATAAATGTAGAAGATGATAGAATAGAAACAGAGATGCCGGCACGTGAACTGGACTCTCATAAATAAACCGAAACTCACCGTAAATGTTGCTAGACTACTTGCCTCACAAACCTTATAAATGTATAGAAAGCGTGATGTCTACTTTTAAAACACAACATTTAAAAATGAAAAACATGATCTCTGCATGCTTATGTA